AGTGTATATACTTTGGTCAAGTAAGTAGTTATTCTTCTTTTTCTTTCTTTTGAATAGGAATATTTAATTAAAGAGAGGTTCTGCATTAGAGGGTGTAGTCTACAGATTCTCTGGTTTGTTTCTTTTGTTTTTGAGTATGAATTCCAATAATTCCTATTAAGGCTAATATAAGTATTACAACAATTACAGTAATAATTAAGATAAATATGTCTGCTGGTGATTGTGATATATGTTTTATAGTATATTGCAAGTTAATTCTTGTTGTTAAGCATAATATCCAACATTTGGATGATTCTTGTAGAGTCTCTTTTTATATCTTTGGCATATACAACAGTTAAATATGATTGTCAGAATATACAGTATAGATAATACTATTATGGTAAATATAAGGTATAATTGTGTTTGATTTTTTGATTACAATTGGTTGTAGTATTGTTAATCGTGGTAGACATTCTAATTTTGGTATGTTATTGTTTTTCTAGCAAGTTCGCATTTTGTGTTGTAGCTTATATTATTTTAAGATTGTTTCTAACTATTCTAATATTGGTAAGTTTCTATAATTGTTCTTGTATTTCCCTATTGTTGATTATAGCATATGTTATCTTATGTTTGTTCATAGTTCCAAGATATTACAGATAGGGTATCAGTAATATATCCATCAGATTCGTATTTAGTTTCAGTCTGATATTAGTATTTTCTATTTGGTGTAGTTAGTGCCAGTAGAGGTAATCCTGTTCCTATGATATAAGATCTGTTTGTTTTTTTGTTGCCTTTAGTAGTTTGGTATATAGCTCAGTTGGCTTTTAATTGGTCTACTAATTGGGCTATCTGTTCGGGTGTTAATTCTCTTTCTATCAGTTGTTGTGTAAATAGTAAGTTGGGTATTTGAGTGATAGGCAATTGTTGGGCTTGTTGTCGATACTGGCATTTCTTTTAGTTTGTTCTTTTTAGGCAATACAATACTATTGCTATTATAGCACTTAATATTGTTGCTATTATACTTAAAATTTCTATAACTAATGTTTTGTCGACTTTGGTTGGTGGTGTTATATTTGGTGTTTCTGTTAGTTTTAAGGAGTTGCTGATTGACAATGGTTTATCTGCTATATTTGGAGCTTCTTGACTTGGTAAAGCTATTGTTGGAGTTGATATACTTATTGTTGAGAATATAGTTATCAGTACTGTTAAATCTGCATTAGCATATATTATGTAACAATATCTAATTAGTTTCTTGTTTACTTGAAACAGTTCTTGGAGTTTTTGTATTTTCTGAGTTAGTGCGGTTATAATTATAATTCTAATAATTATTTTTTAAATTAAATTAAATTTTATTCTTTGAGTTTCAAAAAGATTCTACGCTGTTTAGTTGGGCTTTTCCCTTTCTAAATGTTATTTTAGGTTTTTTTATTTTGCTGTTTTTCTAAAACATATATGTTTATGTTTTAATATTATTCAAGAGGATGATCATAAATAGTCTTGATTGTAAATAGAAGTGGTTAATGTGATTGATGTGGTGCTTCTATAATGTAAGTAAAAA